TAAATTGAGAAAGTTGTTTTTGTTCCCAGAAATATGCTGCAAAATTCAGACAACGCCATGCAGTGCAATATACGCTATACTGTCACGCTCTATAAGGCAGTGCTGACCAAGAAGAGTGACTATCTCATACAAGTATCCTTTGCTGGCAACCATGTACTTGTGACACCGCCCCATTCACCAACGGCCTTTCATTTCTAAAGTTTAGATTCCATCCTTTCAAGGGCAAGACTAATGTATGCAAGGGCACTGCCCAACCGGAGTGGAATTTCGCGGTGTGCTTCTCATGGACTTTCCCATCGCTATCGCAGACCTTTGTCGTACAGATTTTGTCCCATGAACATCTGCAGTGGAAAGCTATCGCTGACTATGAAATACATTTCGATGAGATCGCATTCAAAGGTTTCTGGCTAAGATAAGAATTTTTTTGCTTTTATTTGGTGGAATACACTCACTTTATTTTTCTGTAGATAAGCCGGCACTGGGTCCTACATATGTGCATTTCTACGATATAGCCAATCCACTGCAATACCTCGGCCGACTTTTGGTGGAGGTGGTTTCAGAGTGTCTACCGACCGGTCCGGCACGCGATCTCTTAACAAGGCCCGTCGCACCACTGGATGAGAAACGTTGGTGGCAGGAGGAGACATTTCTAGTGGAATTTCTACCATTACAAGGCGACTTTGTGCATGGCAATTTTAGTAACTGCAAAATTTCTATGAGACTCGCAGGTAATTTACGAAACTAAGCATACGATTTGTTACCTCTTACTTGGTCGCCCCATTTCCGCATAAAATACTTGTAGTGCTAGATATTTCTTAAGACGTAGCCTGCTGCGCCACTGCCTTTATTATACTACAGACTATATCAACGGCGGTGTATAGTTCGTAGCTTGTTGTTGCATTGCCTGAGATATTTGCTGACGCTGAAGAGCGGGAGTCTATAAAAATGCTGAACGACTTTTCTCGTATTCCCTGAGAGCCATTATTAAGCTGTACGTTAGGTCAGTGTCGGCATTCTAACACATTGAAACGATTCAATAAGTGAGACAGTGTGCCCTCAATGCACTGCTTCGCTTCCGCTCTTCGTATACGTGTGAAACACACATGTGCTCAGAGAGCGCTCAGTGAGCTATGGCCTGCCGACCACTGCGTTAGGTTATGAACAGCAAGTCCCTCTTCAAGTCCGTTATTTAATATGGCAAAAAGAAGTGGACGTTGTCGGACGGAAACAAAAAGGTTATATAGACTTTCGAGAAAACTATCGCAGACGTATATGCCAAGATGATATATGACCCAGTTTGTGTGTGAGATGCGCAAAAAAAGATATAAAATAACGAACTTTACGAGCTCTATAATGACCCGTAAACTAACAAAGGCATGAAAAAACAAGATTCGATATGCGCTGGGATGCGTTTGTATGGCAACGTTTTTAAGAAAATATCCTTCGATTCGGCACCCATGGGTAGAAAACATGTGTGGGTATCGAATACAATTTCAGGTAGGGGAAAATCTGAGGATATGAAGCTTATCAGCTACCCTTTTCCAAATTTCAGCAGGTAGGACTACGTGTTGGTTTCTGGATAGCGGCTTTCGAGATTTAATCTTGAACTCTAGAAGAAGAAGACCTCGAAATATTTCCAAGTAGATCCAAGGGAAATATGGAGCTAGACATCTTTATAATCATCGTGCCTGCGAAGGAACTGTTTAGGTTAGGCTAAGAGGACGTGTGTGGAATATTCCACACTTTCACTCGAAGACAGAAATGTCCATTGTGAGTGCCCTCTTTATGTGAGTGTCAGTGACAGAGTAACTTTAAGCCATTATTCTACTAAACCAACTACTGTCCCTGATGAAGCCAAGGAGATCCAACAGTTCCACCTCTGCTACCTTGCCCAAACTGTTGAAGAAGCGTGGACTCAAGTGATTTGAGACGCTTCTTATGTAGACCTGGACATCGACACAGATAGTGATCAATTTAATCTTACTCATCCTTATCATGGCAGCCTATACAGAGAGTACTTGTTGGTGAAGATATAACACAGTGTCCTGTGTTTGCGTGAAAGAACTGCCTTTTAGCGTTGGATTTGTCGAAAGTACGATAAGCACGATCAGAAAATATTCCAAAAATGTACTCTCTCCCCAATCCTCACTGGTGTTACTTGCCGTTAACGTAACCGAATAATGCATCAAACACAACACTAAGCACGTTTAGGCTCCGTGCCTGACTTATCCCTCGTATGTCATTCAAGATACCAATCACTTTTTAGTCTTTTTAATCCATTAACAACCACAGCCTTTGCTCCGCTCGTAAGCGCACGTTTCCTGGGCCCATATTTAGTTAAGCTCAACTCGGAGTAAATTTTATGCTTAGATAAGGGGAAATAATCAATTTGATACACATTTACTTATCTAAATATTGTATTTTAATTTTTAATCAGAGAGTACTTCTAATTATGTGGAATGCTATCTGAAAAGCTATCCCGGAAAGACTACCAGCTCTGGCACTACTTTGAAATACTTTCGCCAAGAAGCGCCCTATAAAGCGGCTTACTTAAAAATTACAATGCCCGATAATCGATATAAATTCGACAGCGATTATTATATGCAAGAAATTTTGGATCTAATAGTTAAGTATCCGAACTTTCGTTTTGGTTGTTAATGCTTCCAAGAAAGATTGATTGTGGTTTATTTTGGAACGAATTTCTTTCATCAGCTGTCAAATTTTAATTAGATATTGTGCCATCTTTAGTACAATTTTTCGTCCAAAAGTATGAGAAATTCGTTTCAATATAGATCGGATATCAAATTTTGTGCTCATTGCTAACTGTCTTCATTGCAGGAATCAGAGCTAAAAGCCTTCAAACTCTTTCAAATTAAATACACCAACCAATTTTTGCTCCAAGCCAAATGCTTCAAAGCCATTATAATGAATTTGCAAAACAAACTAAATGAGGGTGTCGATGAAAAGCGACTTCAATATACCGGGTTCAAAGATGCCACCATGTGGGACACAAATCGTTTGGTCTATGTTAATGCCTTCTTCGTAAGTTCATACCTGTAAGTTTTCGCCATCTAAACTGTTCTTATGTTTTATGCAGGAAAAGTTTCCCGAGAAGCTACGCGCTATGCGTCAAAAGCTCAAATCAGCGCCCGCAATGCTAATCGATTCCACCATCTCAGAGGTGGTAGATCAAATGGTCTCACATTCCAATGAACTAAAAAGTCTTTTGGCCACTACACGCTTGCAGGATGAGTGGCCCACGCTTATGATCATGCTGAGCGTATCGGGAAATCGGGACATTGCAGTTTGCCGGCTAAATGCCAAGTACTTTTTAAATACGCCAAAAGACATACCGCCCAGCCCGAATAGTTTATGTTGGCGCATGCGTAATTTTATATTCAAGGTATACCACGGCGCGGTTGTAATGCTTTCGTATATAGCCTTAACTCTCTTTACCTCCTTTTGCTTGCAGGATATTCAATGTCAGCACAGCTGCATCAACTGTGGCTGCAATATGGGCATTATACAAGGTTCACTTGGCATTGTGGTTGATAGTGAACGCACCGAATATTTGGCTACTATAACCAACGATTGGAAACAAACTGAGCTCTATTATTGGTCACCCATTGTTGCCTACACCGTCTACAAATGTCGCATCTTTATACATCAAGCGAAAATTCGACCAGGCAGCGATAGCAGTGGGCTTTGTGATGGCTATCTACGTGTCATCTTTGGCTCGCAGTGGGCACAAACATCTACGGTAGAGGCGACACTCTCACCAATATGGAACTGTGTGATCTGCTTTGATGTCGTTGTGCTGCCAGGCAGCATGCAATGGTACTTGAAAAATCCGCCACTTGTAGCTGTTGAACTGTACGATCGCGATCGTCTAACGGCCAATGACTATCTTGGAAGTGGTAGTGTGCCAGTCTCAGTGATAGGTATGAAAGAGGCAGATGAGAGCGCACGCGAGGAACCAGAAAATAGATTTAAGCTAAATAAAATGGTGAAGACCAGAAACGCTATGCAGAAATTTCATAAACTGAAAATTCTATCACCGCCACCGCTAGCTTGGGTGCCGATCGCTCAGAATGGCAGTGTACGAGCTGAGGTATTGATGTCTGCGGAGCTAGTAGAGACGCAAGAAGAAATGGGGAAACTAGAAATGGTGGAGCCGACCATCACAACGGGTATACCGTCGGGCATAAGACCGATTATGAAGAACTTTGTGTGAGTAGGAGAAGATGGTGTGCTTAAGAGATTGAGCTTATGAGCAAATCTCACGAGTTGTTACATTTTCGACAAAAAAGGTGTTTTTCGTTTAAAATGGTGGCACACTTTTATAAGACAATGCATTATCTTCAGTTTTGTATAAAGAACAAGATTCCATTGCGAAATTTTATTTAAATGAAAACTTAAAAAATATATACTAAAAAAAGTCAAAATAACAACTCGTGTTCGTATACTCGTAGTTGTGTATGTAACGTATACGCCCCCCGTAGCACTATACATAGTCAGCTAACACGTTTATTCGCACGCCTTAAGTTTGAAGTCATATAAGTAATTAAATATTGGCTTGGAAGATTTTTACACAGTATTCCTTATGCAAATATAAATTACTTTCTTCGCCTATATAACAATTCTAGAATAAATTTCAAGTGTGCCAATCAAAATTAAAAAAATGGAATTTTAATTTCCCAAATCCTAGTCATCTTTCAATTTCAATAATTTTTTTTTATTTGGTGGCACAATAGTTTTATTAGACTAGATTCGTTCGTTTTGGCAACAAGAACATTTTCACCATTTAATTTTAACATTTTGAAGTATCTTAAATTATTAAAATTAAAAAATCGTAAAATTTCCAAAAATTACAAACTAGTGCAACCAATGCGAATTAGTATAAAGAAGGTGATAGCAAGAGTACAAAAACACAAATTTACATGTATTTTGTTTTTGCTTTGGCGGCATAAACTGTCAAAATCTGTAAGAGTGTGTGTGGAAATGCAAACAAAATTTTTCAATTTGACACAAGAAGCCGTGAAGCGAAACAAATACACAAAATCAGCTGATCTAGTAACACCAACTTATATAAATTCGCCTGGGCTGGGACAGATATTCTGCATGCTGCCATTTTTTTTTTTTATAATTTGATGGCACACTCTTGAAACTTTATAGATATGTTGTATTTGACGCCAACGTTCATTGCCTCTAATATGGACATTCTAGTTGAAAACTTCCCAAAGTTATTTAAAAACAAAAATTATGATTTTTAATTTCGGTACTTTTTCGCCTAAATAAACGTTTTAAGGCTAAAATTGTTCAAAGACGAGATAATTACACTTTACTGTACTTGTTTCAGGAACTCCATTGATTAAAATAAATGCAAGAAGATTGCTTTAGCGTTTTTTTGTTCTGGCGAAAGAAGGGAGTGACACTTAAAAACAACTCGTGAGATTTGCGCTTTAATTTTTTTTTCTTTTTTTTTAGGTTAGAAGTGGTTTTCATTGGTTTTCGAAATTACACAAAAACAACTTTTGGTGGCAGACATCGAATCAAAGTTATGATGGGTGATTTGCTGCTTACGAGTGGACTTTCGTCGACACGCTTGAAGAATAGCATTAACTTTTTAGTTATATTTGCTTCTGGAGTTGTGGTAAGTGGCTGATTGAGGTTGTGGTTTGTTGCGGCAGAAATGCCTTATGACTTAAATGAAAATTTAGAAACTTTCTGGGCCGACAACTGGTAAACTAGAAGACACCGGACGAGACCAGACCAAACACATACACTGCAACAAATTTGAAAACCGACGTACACTTAAATAACCAATTTCTCTTTCAGAGCCTGCCTGAGCAGCTGGAATATTGGCCTGCAATT